ATATATATATATATATATATATATATAATTTTAATATATAATTTTTTATATATATAATTTTTTTTCTCTTCCAACTCAGGGCTGTGTCCTGATACAGGACACAGGCCGTCATACCATCAGGGGGGGGATCCACTACATGGTAAAAGTTGAAGGCAGTGGCGCATACACCTGCACTCTGACCTTTACCCTGGATGGAGCAACAAGGTCTGTGTCAGAGACCATGAATGCAACGGTCACAGGTCAGTTCAGATTCAGCAGCAAAAATGTTTTATGCAACCAACTTTGGAAATATCTACTGTTTTTTTTTAAATAACACACAAAAAGGGAAAAAAACTGGAGTTAAAAATTCATGCAGGGATTTTTTTTCTAATAGACATTAAACAGCTGGTACAACTATAGTTAGTACTAAAACAGCAAGTAAACACAAAGAACCAACTGATGGAGAAATCTTTGACTAAGGCAAGAACAACAAGTAACACCAGAAAATAACATATATATTTTTTAAATGTAACTTCTTTTTTTTTTGTCTTATCAGTGCAGCACTTTCTGCCTCCACAGATCCATGAACCGGAAAATGAAATTATAAAGGCAGCAAAAGGTGAGGTCGTCTTTTAGACTTTCTTTCTCAGAAAAAAAAGTCTCTCAGGTATTTATTACAGATGCAGTCTTAAAAACCGGGTTGTTTAGCACAAATAACCCATTTCTTTATTGGTGTCATTTTCACTGCGGATGTAAGTCACAACACTTTCCAGACCTACATAAAACTCTTGAGATGAGCACCATCTACAAAACAAATCAGAGCAGCAATAAAACAGGTTCTTCACACCAGAAACCAGTTTAAACAAGTTTTATTTATGACTATCCGTGCAGTGTTTGCATCACTTGGTTAAACACTGGTCAAGTATCTCAGTATATCTTAAGAAAGCGTAAATTCATGCTGATTTGCTCTAGGTTGCATGTAATTCAACTACAGTTTGCTCTGCATCTTCTGACATTCAAACCTACTGAACTGGATTTGCATTTTAAATCATCAGATAAAAAAACGACAACTAATTTTGACGAATTTCTGCTTTACCTCAGCAAATACATCCAGGCCTTAAAGATTTGTAATTTGTTCTTGTTTTATTTCACAAGGAGATGAATGAAAACAAATAAAATAAAAAAGACAAAATTCAAATACATCTATGGTTTATCTCAACAAGTACACTCATGCTGAGAGATCTGTAATTTCTTCCTTCTTGCTTTTAGGGTCGAATTTCACAAAGCGTTGTCTGGTGTTTGTTCCTGGTGCTGGGGAACATGTTGTTGACGTCATTTGGTTGGACAAAAATAAGGACATGTTTGATTCTGAGCCGTCTGACCGCATCTACACATCAGCCCTGCGGTTGGTACATTTAAATTAACTTCTGCAAATGAACAAATGATGCCACCTTTTAAGGCCGACGCTTTCAATGATTTGACTTTTTAACAGTTCGAGGACCCAAGATGAACCAAAGGGTGAGTGGTTGGAGCTGCTGCTTAACTTCTCAGAACTGAGGCAGGAGGATTTCTACCTCAACTACACCTGCAGGGTCTTCAATTCCCAAGGCAATTCAGAGAGATACTTTACGTTGCTGCCAACAGGTAAAGCTTGAGCGCATAAACTGTGTTGCTTTGATTCTGTCGTGCCAAATGTCGCTGCTCTTAACCTTATAAAACCGTTTCTTCATTGACTCTGTGTTTAAAGAGCATTTGTGTTTCGGTTTTGCTTTTGTTCTTACGTAATACACTACATATGTATCGCTAAGAATTTTTGCTCCGTTTAAGATTTGGATTTGACCACATGTGAGGTATTTTAGATTTTGAACCAGATACATCAAAGTAGTGAAAAAGCTCTTTAGGTTTCTGAATCAGAAGACATCTACTCACCCACCATAAGTGGCAATACTTTCTGACACAACATAGACAAATATCTGCTCTCCACTGACTGGATTACAAATAGAACAAGGAAAGGAAGCTGTTGCCTCTCTAGACTCCATTTATCCTTCTGCCTGAACAACCGGAGAACGATGGACCCAAAACCACCGCTAACAACACGTAGAAGTTCATCTTTAACAGAAAGAGATCTATTGAAATCATCACTTCATATTCCAACCACAATATTACCCTCATTTTCATAATTATGGGTCATAAAACTGTCATTTTGTGGCCCTGAATACGTTCCAACAGCCTCATTGTTGTGACCTGAGATTTATTTCCTCTCAAGATTTTAGCCTGACAAAAAAAAAACAAAAAAAAAAAAACATTGGCGTTAGCGCTTGCTGCTCACGCTTTTCAAATGTTGATTCTAGTTGCCTTTGAACACCCGATGGACTTCCCCCTCTTTAGCTGTGACTTCCTGCTCTGGTGTCTCAAGTTAAATATGAGATGCACAAGTGGCTTTGCACTAATACAGGTTGTTATGATTATCCAGCTAGATCCATAGCCTTGGAGGCATCGATGAAGTAGAATGAAAAGATTGTTGCTTAAAAACAATTTTTGTTTTGTAGGTTTTAACTCAGTTTGATTTAGAGGAGGATTTATAAGGAAAATCTGCCTAAACCAAAATATTCTCAATGTAAATTGATTTTACTCAGATATGTGATTTCTTGTTTCCACAGATCCGAACATCATCCTTCCCATCGGTTTAGTGTTTGGTGGAGTGACTGTTCTCTTCGTCATCAGCGTCACCGTCTACTACATCTTCAGGATAGACATTGTGCTGTGCTTCAGGAGAGCGTTTCCAGTCCTTTATACAAATAAAGGTAACACTTTACAGCAGAGGTGAAGATAAAAATGTGCTGCAGATACTACGACGCTTGAAAAGCGATCGCACATTGGAATAAAATGGAAGCACCCAATCAACCTCGTCTAAGCTTAAAAAAAAAACAAACAGATACAGTAGCTGCAGCGTACCCACACATTATTCCAAAGTCACAAAATCTCAAAGTTTTATCTCGAGTTTCACCACATCTTCATACAGTGCAAGAAACAGAGGAAGCACACAAACCACAGGGCCTGCCTGCACTCTTTCAGATAAAATGTCACCCGCCTCTCATTCAAAGGGGCCGCAGGCGCTTTCTTAACCGACAACGTCAGCGCTGCGCAGAGCAGGACCAACGTGAAAAACTCCTGGATGCAAAAATGACTCACGGCAAACATCCACGAGACGGCCAACGTTATGTTTTTTAATGATTGCTAGCTAGTTGACGAGCTGGTTATTGTTTTCAGCCACCCCCCAAAAAACAAATATTGAAGTGACATTGTATTGTCTGCGTTCAGACGGCAACCTTGTTGTGCATCTAATGAGAACTTTTCACTTTTAGATCTTGATGGCAAGCTGTATGATGCTTATGTGGCATACCCCAATCCTGGTGCCTTTGGCTTCAGTGAGGAAGTGGAGAAGTTCGCCCTGCAGACGTTGCCTGAAGTGTTGGAACAGGCCTGTGGCTACAAACTGTTCATAGCGGGCCGTGACTGCCTGCCGGGGCAGGGTAAGTCTCCCACATGGGAAAGTTAGCCTCATAAGGGGAAAAGCTCGTGTCGGTTTGTCGCGTCCTGTATCGTCATAATTAAATGATCTCATCCCCACGCACCTGCCTCTTTGCTGTTTGAATTTTGCTCCTAAACAAACATAACGTTGTGTAGCATGTAGAAGAAGGTCCGCTGGTCAGAAGAGAGCAAAGTTAAACTCTTTGGTCTACAGCTAAACATAGTGGTGGAAGCATCATGATGCGTTGTCTTTGGATAGGGCTAAATGAAAGGCAGGCTGAAAGTAAATGTTAGACCAGGACATGGATTCAACTTACAGCAGTACATTGATGCCAAAAATACAGCTAGTGCTACACAGAGAGATGGTTTGCATGAAGCATCCGATTCTAAACAGTTTCCCATCTTTCTCTTTGCTCCCTGTCTTCCTGCAGCCATCGTGGACTCTGTGGATGAGAACCTTCAGGCTAGTCGTCGTGTTCTCCTGCTCTACACCGCTTCCACTTTCATTAAAAAGAGGCACACGAGCAGCACCAGCAGTAACAACAACAACATTACGAAGATTAGCGAGGAGGTTGATCAAATCGAAAGCAGGACCAGCGAGGGCAATGGCAGCGTGGGTTTTGGTGGTGACGACAAAGCGTTTTCAGACGCAAGGCAGCATCTGGAATGTGTGGCATCCATGAACAGAGCGCTGCTGGAGGGCTCCTTAAAGGTAAGACAGAGAAATGTCATCGTATAGCCACAGAAAGTCACACAATTCGGCCAATAAGCAACTCTTATTCATGTAGAATCTTCCAGTGTCCTCAACAAAGAGGTTCTAATGGAGTTCTGTCCTCTCAGGTTATTCTGGTGGAGCTGGAGGAGATCACCCCGGCCCAGCTGGCCCTCTTCCCCGAGTCGGTTCGCCACCTGAGGAAGAAACAGGGCGCCGTGTGTTGGTGGAAGTCTCTCCGAACGAGGCAGAAATGGAGGACATGGAGAGAAGACGAGGAGAGACGTGGAAAGGACTCACAAGTGTCACCATCCCTCTCTCCTTCCTCCAGGTTTTGGAAAGAAATTAGGTATCATATGCCAGTTAGAGGCAAGAGGGCGGCTTATCCAGAGAAAACTGCCTTGTTGAACTTGTAATGCTAGATGTAAATGTTTGAGTGAATTGGTGCGATGAAAAAAAAACTCGACTGAATATGACATTTGACTTTAATCTTTTGTAATGTTGGCAGAATATTTCGGTTTAGTCAAGAGTCCAAAACTGTTTGACACGTAGTGAAGTCAAAGAAACGTGTGAAGAATAATCAGAAGCTGTAAAACCAGCCTATCTGTCCAGTTCTGTCCTGTTCTAAGTGTTCATGTAAAGAAGGAAAATTGTAAATGTAAATTGTGAAAGTTATTAAAGTATTTGTACATGTTTTCCATATTTATAAGGTCACATAAAGAATATGAAAGCTGTTGTTTTTTTTTTTGTTCCTGCTGCTTATTATTATTGAAAATGCTCATAAAAAAGCATAAACATGAAAATATAACATATTACTGTGAAATGTGAAATCAACAGTTCAAGATTTTCCATGTAACATTTTATATTTATTGGTGTTATACATTGTCTTAAGCTTTCAGATAAAAGAGGTTTGTCAAAAATAAATTATCAACCTGTTTGTGGATAAACAATCCGTGTATGGTTCGTTCTTTGGTTTTTTCGTTTCAAAATAAAATTGGTAAAACAAAACAACCATGTGTTTTTTTTTNCCAAGTGCAGTCGCAAAAACCATCAAGCGCTACAAAGAAACTGGCTCACATGAGGACCGCCCCAGGAAAGGAAGACCAGGAGTCACCTCTGCTGCGGAGGATAAGTTCATCCGAGTCACCAGCCTCAGAAATCGCAGGTTAACAGCAGCTCAGATCAGAGACCAGGTCAATGCTCTAGCAATGTTCTAGCAGCAGACACATCTCTGCAACAACTGTTAAGAGGAGACTGTGTGAATCAGGCCTTCGTGGTAGAATAGCTGCTAGGAAACCACTGCTAAGGACAGGCAACAAGCAGAAGAGACTTGTTTGAGCTTAGAACACAAGGAATGGACATTAGACCAGTGGAAATCTGTGCTTTGGTCTGATGAATCCAACTTTGTGATCTTTGGTTCCAACCACCGTGTCTTTGTGCGACGCAGAAAAGGTGAACGGATGGACTCTACATGCCTGGTTCCCACCGTGAAGCATGGAGGAGGAGGTGTGATGGTGTTGGGGTGCTTTGCTGGTGACACTGTTGGGGATTTATTCAAAATTGAAGGCATACTGAACCAGCATGGCTACCACAGCATCTTGCAGCGCCATGCTATTCCATCCGGTTTGCATTTAGTCGGACCGTCATTTATTTTTCAACAGGACAATGACCCCAAACATACCTCCAGGCTGTGTAAGGGCTATTTGACCAAGAAGGAGAGTGATGGGGTGCTGCGCCAGATGACCTGGCCTCCACAGTCACCGGACCTGAACCCAATCGAGATGGTTTGGGGTGAGCTGGACCGCAGAGTGAAGGCAAAAGGGCCAACAAGTGCTGAGCATCTCTGGGAACTCCTTCAAGACTGTTGGAAGACCATTTCAGGTGACGACCTCTTGAAGCTCATCAAGAGAATGCCAAGAGTGTGCCAAGCAGTAATCACAGCAAAAGGTTGCTACTTTGAGGAACCTAGAATATAAGGCATATTTTCAGTTGTTTCACACATTTTTGTTAAGTATATAATTCCACATGTGTTAATTCACAGTTTTGATGCCTTCAGTGTGAATCTACAATTTTCATAGTCATGAAAATGAAGAAAACTCTTTGATTGAAAAGGTGTGTCCAAACTTTTGGTCTGTGCTGTACACTGGACATTTCTGATGAATCCTCATCTCTTATCATTGCTCTGTCTGGGATCTCATTGAGCTTAATTTCTCAGGACAAATTTTATCTAGGCCAAGCCGATAATTTAAATTAGCATAGTGTAGTAGCTAAGTAATATAGTGTAATCAGTAATTTATTGTAAAGGTAACCTACTGTCAGTGTTTTAAGTCTACTTTAATTCCTTATGTTGAAATCTTTTACTTTAGACTTGAAAAGCCGAAAGATGTATTATCATTCGTTATTGCATTTCCAGTAATGACAGACATATTGATGTTCCCACCTGTTTATGTTGAGGCATATTGTAAAGTGTGTGTGAGCATGTGCAAGTGTTTTTAAATTCATATGTGTTGAGTCATACTGTCACGTTGGACACAAGGAGAACTGGGAGTCCATCCTGAGTGTTGGAGTCGAGTGGTGCTATTGGCAGCCGCTCCACTTCACCTGCCACAGGTGGCTCTTTCATCTTCCCTGTCCTCAGCCTGCCTCTTCTTTTACCCAAAGACCATGAATATGGATGCTTATGTGTTCCCCTTGGTTTTAAAAAGGAAATCAACTCAGTGCTGCCTTAATAAGTCAGTGTATTGTTATTACAGTTTGTTTTGGTGATGTGACAAATCTAATGAGCTACGAGGCCCTCCCTTTTAATTTCCTTTACAGATCTTTAAAGTTCCCATAGAGGAAAATGAAAATATCCTTAAAATATTCATAAACAAATAGCACTAGTCATATAACATTAACTACATTTGGGAGAGTTTATTTATATGAACATCTGGGTTGTAAAATCTTACGGCAGGGAACATGAAAGATAAAAGGAGCAATTTATTTTTCATAGTTTTATGAGATGAGCTTATCTCTGTCATTATGAGAACATTTATGAGCAAATTGTGTTTGGGTCTTTTGCTCTTTTCATGTGGCAGAAGTGGTTATAGAGGCATACTGGTGTAGCTGGCTGGTGATAATCGAGCTCATAAAAGCTGACGGGGAGACAGATTTTGTGTCCTTTTTCCAAAAGATGCAAGGATTTCCATTCTTAGGAAACACAGCAATTCAAACACCTATGGCTGGTACAGACATAATTACTGTAGAAAAAAAATGAAAGGTTTATCTCACACTGCAGCAAGTCTTTCCAGTCCTCAGATGCTCTACTACTACTTATTAACATTCTTTCAATTTTAGCTTGGGTGAAACACCAATTGGAGTTGCAGGTAAGAATAACATAAATTTGTTAGACACTTGCAATGAAAGGCTCCAACTGGATACATTTTGGTACACATGCAGACATATTCCCTTTGTAGAAACTGGACCATAGTGCATGGCTTCTAGCTACATGAAACAAGGAAAATTCTATAGTTACTGAGTGTCTGACAGTCAGTGTGAAAGGCGAGTGGAAGTAAACATGTAGACTTGAACTTTGATGGAGAGGTACAATAAGGACTAGGTTGTTGTAACATAAATTATTACACATGAGAGATGTAGCAAGATGACACCATCTGTGTGGATTCGCTCCGCTACCCACTGGTTCCATCATCAGGCCACAGCTGCACATGCCAGGCACCAGCATGGTAGGACAACGTACAACAATGTCAGATTCAGCTTAAAGTTATATTGGCAAATTAACAACATTACAAAAAGGAAAGCAAAAGTAAAATACTACTTTACAAACCCAGAATTTATCAAAAAATGAATAGGCTAAAGCCAAGCTTATACGCATTTACCCTATTCAGAGACTCAGCAGCCTACAGTAATGAAAGATGTCTTCTGTCCATATACATACATAAGTACACATACACACATTTGTATTTAAGCATGCACCTGCATAGATGCATGTATATTCATAAATACACATACATGATTACACAATACATCTACATCTACATATATGCAGATATACACTGTTAGATATAACAGCTTATACCTAACAGAGTAAGTTTTCATAATTCTACATGTTAAGGGTCTTTTAAAGCTCACAAATAAAGCACATCATTTGAGGCCATCATTTGATTCATTCCACAGTTTCATGACAATAACTGAAACACGTCAAGATTTCCCTGGTGAAAAATGAATGTACCAATTATGTTAAATTTTAGCATACTTGAGCATATTTTAAGTCAGACTAATCATGAGTATACTTCAAGTATTCTATAAATTAGTTAACTTAAAGTGTGACATTTTGGAACAACTAATTTTGTGCTTGGTGTACTTTAGTAGTATTTAAATAGTATTAAAGTATAATTTAAAGTGTACTCACCATACTTCAACGTACTTTTTTGGACAACTTAAGTTGCACCTAGTATACTTTAAGTATATTGCTTTTTATGTAATATAAACGTGCTTGATTAGTATATTTTGGGTGTACTATTATTGTGATTGGGTTACATTTAAAATATTCTTAGAATGTATTTTAAGAATACAGTGATCCCTCATTTTACGTGGGGGTTGAGTTCTGAAAATAACCTGCGATAAGTGAAATCTGTGAAGTAGTTACCTTTAGTTTTCCAATTATTATACAGCATAATAAAATACTCTACATTGAAACCAAAGAACAAAACCTGTTTTCAGGTCAGCGGATGTTCGTGTGCATCAATCGGGCCTTAATGTGATCCGGAGTCGTGTTATTAAAGCGTCTCCTCCAAACTGCCCCATGAGATTCACAGCTGTATCTACGGCAGAGCGATGGATCTCGTCAAGCGAGTCTGGTCGGGATTTGCGCCGATTCTGGCCAGTTTTTTTCCATCAGGCATTCAAAGTTTTCAGCTTTCATCTCCTGAATGGCCAATCTGTCTTACTTATATTTAAATACCGTAACGTTATTGGCACACAGGTAGAGAAGGATCTTGGAGACTGTTTAGCCAAACAGGTCGCAGAATACAATGCACTGTGAAAAAAACTGCACAAAAAAATCCGCAAAGTACTGAGACCGTGAAAGGTGAACCGCGTTATAGCGAGGGATCACTGTATTGGCATTACATATTTAATATATTAGTAGTGTGATTACAGAATGCTGCTATTACACTTTTGGTTCATTATAATTGCTAATGAAGTACACTTTTTAGTTACTTAATGTTTTTATTACTCTGCTTTGCCACTTTGTACATTACTTGCTTCATACACACTACACTACAGTACTGCAAACCAGGGGCGCTGCCAGGAATCCCCCCCCCCCATCCCCTCCACGCAGCTGCTGTTACAATTTCTTGAGTCTATCTGACCCATCAAAAGCGTCACAATTTCAAAGGGCTTGCATCTGCCTTGCTTTCT